TAGTTATACGTAATGGTGGGATTTATTGTTACATATTAATATATGCATACAATGTAACAATTTGGCCAATATTACTGCCCAGCATATCAAAGGGATAATTATAAGTAAAAAAAGTACCAATTTTGAAAGGTCATATACTACATGATTACATTTATATAACATTCTAGTATTTGTGGGTGGGTACTGAGCAATAGGATATACCCAGTCACTTTTATTTTTTATTTCAAGACAGGGTCTTGCTAAATTGCTGATGTTGACCTTTTGTGATCCTCCTGCCTTAGTTTCCCCAAGTATCTGGGACTATAGGCATATGCCACTATACCCAGCTTATATATAACATTTTGGAAATGACAAAAGTATAGAGATGGGGAACAAATCAATGGTTTCCATGGATTGGAGAAGTGGGTGAGGAGGTATTACTATAAAGGGAAGGCTTGTAGAAGTTCCTTTGTGGTGATAGAAGTTCTATACCTTAAAGGTGGTGATAGGGCTGTGACTGTGGCTCAGTGGTAGAGCACTTGCCTAGCATGTATGAGGCACTGGATTTGATTCCCAGCACCATATATAAATAAATCAAATTAAATAAAGTTCCATCAACAACTAATAAAAATATTTTTTAAAAGGTGGTGATAGGGCTGGGGCTGGGGCTTAGTGGTAGAGCACTCGCCTAGCACCTGTGAGGCCCTGGGTTCGATCCTCAGTATCACATAAAAATAAATAAATAAAATATATTGTCAGGGACACAATATATATATATATTAAAGATGGTGGGGACTGGGGATATAACTCAGTTGGTAGAGTGCTTGCCTCGCATGCACAAAGCCCTAGGGGTTCAATCTCTAGCATCAAAATAAATAAATAAATTATAAAAAGAAAAATAAAGGTGGTGATAGTTATGTSAGTATATATGACAAAGTATGATAGATGTATACACAAAGACATGCAAACAAATTAGTACACATAAAACAAAATCTGAGTAAGTTCTATAGGCTTTATTGTTAATTGTATTATAACAAGATTAATTTCCTGGTTTTGATAATGTAGTAGAGTTACACAAGATGTTAAGATTGGGGGAGGCTGCGTGATGGGTACATAGGTCTTCTCCTTGTTATTTTTCCAATTCTATAATTAACTCAAAATAAAAAGTTTAATTACAAAAAACAATGAAGCCAGGTGTAATGGATTCTTGAGAATTATTTGAGAGGCTGAGACTGGCAGACTGCAAGTTTGAGGCCAGCCTGGGCAACTCAGTGAGGCCCTATCTCACAATAAAAAAAATAAAAAGGGCTGGGAATGTAGTGCAGTGGTAGAGCACCCCTAAGTTCAATCCCCAGTACTGTAAATAAGTAAATAAATAATTAAATTTAAAAATTAAAAAATTAGTACAGTGGGCTGGAGTTGTAGCTCATTGGAAGAGAACTTGCCTAGCATGTGTGAGGCACTTGGTTTGATTCTCAGCACCACATACAAATAAATAAAATAAAGGTCCATCAACAACTAAAAATATATTAAAAAATATTCTTAAAAAAAATGAGTACAGTGGCAAGTGCTTATAGTCCCAGATACTGGTGAAAAAAGCAAGGGAATTCCCTGAGCTCAACAGTTCAAAGCTAGTCTGAGCAACATAGCAAGTCCTTGTCTCAAAAAAAAGAAAAAAAAAGTGTGTGTCCTTTTTATAATAACATGCACATATATATACATATATATACATACACATATATATGAAATGAATTGGTCCCCTACTAGCTTTCAGGCTTTGGGGCACTAGGGATTGTGCAAATATATAGCATAAAAGCCCCTCATGGCACTTTTGTTCTAGTAGGGGAAAATACAAAGAAAGAAACAGGCAAGTGTGATGAATACATATTAAGCTGAACCACAATGATATACATTCTTTTCTAATCTCCACCCTTGAGGGTAAGCATGACTGTGACTTACTACAAATAAACAGAATATGGCAAAGGCCATGGGACAGCACTCTCATGGTGAGGTCATACTCTGTAGCGAAGGTGATAGATGACATTCCTGTGATTATCTTTCCACAAACATCAGTGCCACCTTGCTAGCCCACATAAGGAAGACTCCTTCTGACCTTGAAGAACACAAGAAGCAGCAGCAAACTGCTATGTGATGTGTCAATGGAGAGGGCCATATAATAGGGAATTGTGAGCAGCCTCCAGAAGATGAGGGTCTTGGTTCTACAATAGCAAGGAACTGAATTCTGTCATCTTGTGAGTTCAGAAGAAAGTCCCAAGTTTCAGATAAGACTACAACCTCAGCTAAGAACTTGACTTCAGTCTAGGAGACTCTGAGCAGAGGAGTAACTAAACCATGCCCAGACTCCTGGCCCACAGAAACTATAACAATGTTTGTTATTTTATACCACTAAATTTGTGATTTTTCTGTGTGTGTGTGTGTGTGTGTGTGTGTGTGTGTGTGTGTGTATGTTGCTGGTGATGGAACCTAGGGCCTAGTGCATGTTAGGCAAGTGCTCCACCACTGAGCTACATCCACAGTTCCTGTGATAATTTGTTACATAGCAATAGAAAACTAGTAACGGTTTAGGCTTGGTTCACTTGTAATTCCAATGATTCAGGAGGCTGAGGCAGGAGGATCACAAGTTCAAGGCCAGTCTCAACAATTTAGTGAGATCCTGTCTAAAAGGATTGGGGATGTAGTTCAGTTGTAGAATGCCCCTGGGTTTAATCCCCAGTACTGCAAAAGAAGAAAGAAAAGGAAATGCAGGGTCAATGAGAGTAAGGGAGAAGAATGGGTGTATGGGTGTGTGTATGTATGTGTGTATGTGCTACATGCAATTTTATAAAACAGTCAGGGAAGGTCTTTCCATCTGGTGTTTATATGCTTTACTGGTTTGACTTCCACAGCCAATCTGGGGGCTAGAACAGTCTTGACAGTCTTGTTTTCCTAAATATTCAGGGTCAGGTACAATGTAAGGGTTTAGCAGCAGAACATAAGTCTGCAAGTGAATCTTGTTTTCCAAGATCCTATGTACCATGAGAACACAGAACCACCTCTTTTGGCTTCTGTGTAGTTCCCAAAATATATATACCCTACACAGTATTTAATAATCCTAGGACTCATTCCCAGTCTCCAATTTTCTCCCTGGCCCAGCCCTCTTATCCAGGAGAGATTCCTGGGTCACCTCTCCATATAAGTGTCACCTTTTCCAGACGAGTCTCCAATTCTGACACTTCAGCTTCCACCAACTCGATAGAGGCTCTGGGGAAGGAGGGATGAGGTCACAGGAACAGGTTACAGGTCCATCAGGTCTAGAAGCCTCTTTAGGGTTGGGGTTGGGGTTTTGGGGCAGTGGGGACAGACATAAAAAGCTGCTGGGTTGAGAAGAGCCACTCAGCCACCTGCTCTTACTTATTTACTTCACAGTCTAAGCTACTACAGGCCAGGCCAGAGCAGGAAGAGAAGAAAGATGGATGTGGTGACTAGAGCCGGAAGTTGCTAACCGCCCCAGAGCAGGTGTTGGGGGAGGGACAGGGGTCCCAGTGATAGGGAGGAAGCGATATCAGTTCTGGGGGATTAGAGCGACCAAACAGTATGGGCAGGGTAGAGATCAAACTAGGACTCTGGTTTGCTATCAGAGGTACTACTTTGGCCCATCAGCTTCCTCTCATCATTTTTTTTTTTTTTTTTTTTTGGTGTGTGTGTGAGGTACTAGGGATTAAACCCAGGGGTTCTCTACCTCTGAGCTATGTCCCTAGCCCTTTATGAGAGAGGGTCTCACTAAGTTGCCCAGGCTGGCCTTGAACTTGAGATCCTCCTGTTTCAACCTCCCACATAACTGGGATTACAGGCACTACACCCGGTTTCTCTCCTCCCCTGAGGTCTATACTCTGAAGTTGATCTGGCCTGCGAAAAGCTGTGTGTATGCTGTCATGTTGGGCGATTTTGGACCCTCCCCACCTTGGCCATCCCCCCCACACCCTACACATACTTACCGGAAGCGGGGTGAGTCTTTGAGACACTCTTCAAAATCCAGCTTGACAGTCATCTCACTTGATTGCTGTGGGGCCAGAGGGCCCCGGGGCCAGGCAGGTAGGGATATAGGCCAAGGCACTCTCTGCCCCAAGAATGGCCTCAATGAGGAAGGAGGGGGTCCTGTGCTGGGTTGTACCTGGGGGGTACAATTCTGTCCCCAAAGGAAAGGGTATTCTAGGAGGAGCTCTCACTCCACACTTCCAGGCAACGCTGGGAGGGGCAGGGGTGGAGCCTGGGTGGAGGAGGGGGACCTGAGATCAGAGAAGCCACAGCCCCGCCCCTAGAGACTATCTGCTTGTCACCTTCCTCCTGGGGCCCCTGGTCTCTCCCTCTGCTTCTTTCTCTTTTAGTGGTTGAGTTTGGGCAGGGTGGGCGGGCGGGTGGAGGGGCTGGTGATGTAGGTTCAAATCCTGGCTCTGTCATTTAGAGGTTGTGTAGGTTGTGTGACCCTGTGAAAGTTCTCTGATTCCTCAGTTTCTTCATTAGAAGATACAAATGAAAATCCCTCCCTTTGGGGTTATTAAAAAAATTGAAGAGGGTTGGATTTATGGTTAACTAAATTAATTGCATCAGTCATTACCATCCTGCTACTGCTTGACATTAACATTCTTGAGATCCTAGGTTCTTTTGCATCCAGTTCCTGGGTGCTTCCCAGTTTCCTTCTCTGTGCTCTGCTTTCTTGGTTTCCTGCTCTTGAATGGTCCTCCCACCCCACCCACTGCTTGACCCAGCAGGCCCAGCCTGAGCATCCAATTGACAGCATCCAGAATCCTGCTCTTCTTCTCTTTTATTGTCTACTCCTAAGGTGGTAAGTGCAGGGTAAGGTTGCCCTCACCCCATCCTAAGRTGCTACATTTTCCATTGTCTGGATTCTTCTTCCCGAGTCCATTGGAGCCGCAGAGTTTCATCTGGAGAGAGAAGAATCTGGGTTTAGTGGCTTTCTTGCAGCAGTCATGAGATCTTGCCCATCTTAAACTCCCTAGAACCTACCCACTCAGACCCTCTGCCTCCCAGGCCAATGCAACCACCTCCTTGCCTCTGCCCAGGCTCACGTCTGCACCCGTTCTGGGTTGGAGGGTTCTGGCTGTGTCTATGTTCCCTCTCTGAGCTCCCTGGGCTTCGGCAGTTCTGCCTCTTGGCCTCTAGCCACTGACACCAGCTGGATGTCACTGGAGACCTATTGTCTTTGGATGACATGGTAGTTCCTGGAGTGGGATGAGATGGCAGAGAGGAGTCAAGAAGGAAGCATGGAGTCAGTGGGTGGTAACAAACTAGAGAGAGTCCCCAACCCTTTCTGAACTTCTGTGTTTCCTGTTCTACACAATATGAGCCTTGGGCTCTGGGATGTTTAGGGCCTCTCTTACCTGTTGCTGATGAAATGATCTAATAGGATTGGAAGGTTGAGAAATGGAATTTGCCAAGAGGCAGGACAATGAGATGATGGCCTGGTGTCCTCACCAGGCTGCAGTGGTATCACTGTCATTTTTTCAGAGCCCTTAATGGTCTTGTGATCCCTAAAGGAACCTCCTGTGTGGTCCAATATATGAACCTTAGTGCTTATGGGTTTCTCAATGACCAAGGTCAAGTCTGTGGAGCCTGAAAGTGTTGTGGGATGAGGGTCCCCACTCCCCAGGCTTCCCACACCAGCTCTCACTGTGCTGCTGCTCATCTTCTATGTCCTCTTCAGGTTCTGGGTGGGAGTCAGACCTCAGGTATCTTCCTTGGCTATAATACTCCCTGCGTTGCAGATCGATTTGCTCCAATGGAATGGGGGTTGAAGCTGAGGGGAACTGATTTCTGCAGCTAGAGGAATCTGAGGAATCACCCAAAGCAATCTGAGTCATGGTCATTTGGTGTGTCCATGCCTCCCAGGTATATACGGTGGGCCTTACCAGAGGGGAGAAGCTCAACTCCCAGGTTCTCATCTCGTTTTCTTCTGTTACCAACCCTCATCTTTTAGAAAACCTTTAGGGACCTTTTCATCCCTCATGGTTCTCTTGGACTTTGTGTTCTTCAGCAGCCAGCTAGCTATGGGGGCTATCCTGAATGGGACCCCATTCCAATGGTCTCCTTTCCTCTCTGGGGTCACCACCCAGCACTGCTTCCCTACCAGACAGCAGGGCTGTGGGCCAGTGCCCACTGTGGAATAATATGGTGGAGAAATGAGGAAGAGAAAGTCCAAGAGGACCATGGGTTAGAACAGGCTCTGGACTACAACCCTCTTGAGTCTCTGGAGTCTCCCATCACTAACCCTTGACATCTAGGACGGGTCTTAAGGCGAGCATGTCAGTTTCATCATTGACTCTTTTGGCTAGTCCTCCTGCCCAGCATCTCTCCACAGGCCTGGGCTTTGGCTCTATCGTCACACCTCTAACACCACTGCTGATGCCGGCACTACAGCTGTCCTCATCATGTTCCAAGGGCAGGTTTTTCTGAGACTTGAGGAACTTCCCTTCAGTGTAGTGTGTCTTACGGTGCTTGTCAAAATTACAGGAGTCTGTGGGCCAGTGTGAGAGCTTGGCTTTGCTGTCAGGCTCTCGCTGAAGGTTTGCTCCACCTCCCCTTTCCTTTCAGTGCCCACCCTGCATCTCACGTGTCTTGGAAAAGTTGTCTGCAGCTCCTGAGCTTCTATTGTCACCATACTGGAGGACCTTGGGGAGGAAATTGTCCATTGTTGCAAACCTGAAGGGGAGGGAGACTAGTTGGGGACACGGAAGGGAGAGAACAACAATAGGGGCATGTGGTAGATGATACCAAGCTGGCTGATCCCCCCCAGATCAGTCTTAGTCAGACCTGATGGGAATTGTGGTACCTCCCATTTTGCAGGCCAAAAAAGCAGAGGTGCCTCAGGCCCAAGTTCAAGGGCAAAGGAGGAGAAGACCTCAAACCTCAACTGATCTCTAAAAGGACTCTCACCTCTCTTCTAGCACTTCAGGAGTCACCTTGACGGAGGACCCTGCCAACAGGTCCTCATCACTGTCCTGCAGTCTGCAGAGGAGGGGGTATCAGGCAATGTCTAGTTCCTGAGGCTTCTCTGCCTCCTCCCCTGCCCCCCTTATTAGAACGGAAAGAGTCTAGGCTGACAAATTGAGGCTGAGGTCACCTGCGGTAGGGGGTGCTGGGTTCGTCCACCTTCATAAAGCCATAGTCCTTATCAGAAGGGTGATAAGTGGCCAGGATATTCATCTCATCCCAGCGCTGAGCCTTTTTCCTGGGATGAAGAGAGTACACAGAAGAGAAGGAGACAGACCTTCTTGTGACCTTCCTCCTCACAGCCTTCCCTCATTTTTCTGGTCATTCAAAAAACTTTTTTTTTTACACCCTCTTTTACAGGCTTTAGGTAGGGTAGACCCAAAGATAATTACGGTACCATTTGGCCAGGATTTATGGGGCATCTGCTGCTCTCCCAAAGACCTGAAACAACAGATCTCCCACCCAACTACCTTCACCTAGTCTCACTTCTATTTCTGAGGACTCCGCCCCTTCCCTCATGGCTCCGCCCCCTCCCGTGTCCCGAACTCCTCCCTCCTGTCTCTGGGCTTTCGGTCCCCAGAGCTAGACTCCTTACTTATCCACACAGGGGGATTTCTGCATCAGGATGGAGCTGCTGTCTTTTAGGATGCTCCTGGGCCGGTCCTCACAGGGACCAGAGTGCAAACAAGTTGACCCAGAGTGCAGACCACAGCCCGAGGTGTACATTCTGGAGCCCCCGGGCCCGGCACAGGAAGTCCTGGGTAAGCAGGATCCAGGGCAGGGAATGTTGACTGCATCAGGGGATGGGCTGAACTCAAGGTGGCCCGCAACCTCCCCAGGCTGCTGACTGAGCTCAGAAGTGGGGGCCACTACCCGCTCGGTGGGATGGCTTGAACCAGGACTGCGAACCACATTGCACCCCGAGTGCGAGGGGGGCTCAGAACCATTAGGCGAGGCTACTCTGAAGGGCAATCTGGTGTCTGCCTCGACTCCTCTGACCCCTCCGGCCACTCCCCTGGTAACCACTCCAGGTGATTCTCCATTGAAGCCTCTAGTAGGTCCCAGGGAACCCTGCCTCTCCATGGCCCCACCAGGGGGCCACTCTCAGCTACCCCACCCCGCCTTCCAGTTCCACATAGCCCCGCCCCTGAGCCACGCCCCCTACGCGGTGGGCGGGGAACGCTCCGGCTCTGATCCGGTCCCCTCCTCTTCTGCTCCTTAGAGCCGCGGTGGACGGAATCAAGACTCTCTTTAGAGATCTCAGGCTTGGGAGTCACTCCGCTCGCCTTTCCCTTTTTATGCCACCCAAAGTCTTTGTCTTTGCAACTTGTTCCCGCCTTTCTCTATCACCGCCCTCACCAAATGAGACAATCATGGCCAGGGGGCTTGACCAGGGGGCGTGAACCCCTAATTGTGACATCACAGCCTTCCGACCTTAGCGGGAGGGAGACCTCAGCAACCTCGGAGAGTTGGGCTGGGGTTTTTTTATTTTTTTATTTTTTATTTTTTAGCTATCAGCGGACACAACTTCTTTGTTTTGTATGTGGTGCTGGGGATCGAACCCGGGCCGCACGCATGCCAGGCGAGCACACTACCGCTTGAGCCACAGAGGCTGGGGTTTTGCTAGTGGCGTGGCGGAATCTTTTGGAGTCGTTAGCAATGTAATTTGAAACTGTCTGCCGAGGTGTCTTTGGACTCTATTTGTGGATTTAAAGTCTTAAGAGTTTGATTGAAAGAGTTCATTCTGGGCTTGACATGAAATATCCCCATCCCCAGCCACAAATCGTCTCCCGTTGCTTCTCAGGAAAAGTGTGATGCAAAGTAGAGAGACTGCGCCACTTTTGATCTCAAAGGTGTGGAGGGCAGAGACTTTCATTTATAAAACTACAGTTTCTCTGTGCCCCCTGGTCACCCGTTTATAGCTCTTTAAAGCGTGTAGCGCATAGAGAACACTCTCACCCCTTGCCGTAAAGCGAATAGTTCAATATATCGCTTCCCCTGGCGGGGGCGGGGTTGTCGGTTCTGCTGTCGCAAAGCGCGTCTGGCGCCATAAACCTTCGGTCGTAAAGATGCTTGTGGCGGACTTTTCTTCTTTCCACTGTCGCAAAAGCTCCCTGTCTTAGTCTTCATCCCTTTCTGAGCCACTCCGTCATCTCACCGTGCCGTAAAGCGAGCCTCCCGACCCCGTCGTCCTTCTGTTCCCCGTGTGGTAGTCATTAGTTCCCAGTCCAGGATGCTTCATTGCCTGATAGTGCCGTAAAGCATATCTGGTCCCAGCCCCCGGTCGTATTCCCTCAGGGTGTCTGTCCTTCGCGGTTGCCACGGTGCCGCCAAGCGCGGCTGTCGCGCGGCCGGGGTGTCAGCGGCGATGGCGGCGGGGTCGGGTGGGAGTGGGGGCTCTGGGGGAGGCCCCGGGCCAGGACCCGGCGGGGGTGGGGGCCCCTGCGGGAGCGGCCCAGGACCGGGGTCCAGCGGGGGTCTCGGCAGCGGCGGGGAGCTGCACCCGCGCACAGGGCGCTTGGTGAGCCTCTCGGCCTGTGGGCGTACAGCGCGGCGGCAGCAGCCGGGCCAGGAGTTTAACCACGGGCTGGTGTTGAGCCGGGAACCCTTGCGCGATGGACGCGTCTTCACCGTCCGCATCGATCGCAAGGTGCAGAGCTGGGACCACGGAACCGACAAGTGGAGGTGGTGGGAGGGGAACAGGGGAAGATGGGGTAGGACAGCCAGAAAGCCCACATAACTGGGTACCGAGAGGGAACTGACAGATTGTAGGACACTAAGAGATGGGCAGGAGGAGAGCATGAAGCAGATGCATTCAGTCTGGAGGAGACAAGGTGAGAGCTTGAGTTTCCTTAAAACTCAGAAGCAAGGAGACGGACACCGCTCACCTACTAGAATGGCTGGGGAGCAGGTCTCCCGGCCCAATATCTTGGTGGGTGGACGATGGAGAGATGTCAGATATGTGATGAGAGGAGGGAGGAATACCAATAAAAGAACAAACCACTGAAGGACAGTGGTTTCTCAGGTAGGGCCAGAAAGGTGTGTGATTTACTTGTCTTACAGAGAATTTGGGAGGAGAGTGAATCTGGGTGGAGCCTGATCCTAGAAGAGAATCAGACCAGGAAGAAGAGAATGATATACAAGAGCAAAAGGAGTGGGCATAGGAAGCAAGTGGTGGTTGAAGAGCCATAGAGACCCAGAGAAGTTAGAGGAGGTAGAAAGCTGGAACCAGAGAATTTAACCTGCTTAGTGTTTACCATACTAAGTACCCGAGTGCAGGGCAGAGTTGCTAGGAGAGAACAGGCCCAAATAATTAGAGGCAGGGTCCATACTTATAGGTCTTCATCTCTGGATTAGTGCCTCAGAGGTGCTGAGAGGGGAGCAGAGTGACCTGTAGAATGGGTTTTCCTAGAGGTGGGAGACGCAGTGATGGCCCATCCTAAATCTCTCTATACCACCCCCATCATAGGTCAACTCTTGGAGCGGCTCCATTGAAATTGGAGTGACATCGTTGGACCCCAGTGTGCTGGATTTCCCAAGCAGTGCTACGGGGCTGAAGGGGGGCTCCTGGGTAGTGTCGGGCTGCTCAGTGCTGAGGGATGGGCGCTCTGTGCTGGAAGAGTATGGCCAGGACTTGGACCAGCTTGGCGAAGGGGACCGTGTGGGTGTGGAGCGCACCGTTGCTGGAGAGCTGCGGCTCTGGGTGAATGGGCGGGATTGTGGTGTGGCTGCCACAGGCCTGCCCGCCCGTGTATGGGCTGTTGTGGACCTTTACGGCAAGTGCACCCAGATCACCGTATTACCCCCTGAGCCAGGCTTCAGCCCCCCTACTCCCATCCCTACACCTCCCCTGGAGCCTTTGGCCCCCCCTGAAGATTCTGCCTTGATGGAACAGGGGACCTCTGGGGATGAAGGTGAGAGAACACAGGGCGTGGTGGAGGGGTGAGGCAGTGGGTGTGGTTACAGGGTGGGGCAAATGCTGTAGTGATCAAGGCTGGGTGTGGGCAGGACCTTTCAGACCCTGAGTCTGTTACTGGGGAGATCAGGGGCTAGAGGAGAGGGTCTCCTGGATATGGGCCTTGAAGCAAGGGCTTTACGGCAAGTGCACCCAGATCACTGTGTTATTCCCCTCCCATCCTACCTGGTCCCCAGCCTTCATGGTGTCCCCAGCGCAGGCCCGACCGGAGACGTTTCCTAACAGCCTTGAGTCGCATAATGGTGAGGGCTTTGGGGAGGCTCTGGGAAGGGCAACGGGCAATGAGGGAGGGGCCTCAGGAGTGGGGTAGGGAGAGAGAGTATAGAGCTTCATTTTGGCCCTTCTCCATCCTCCTGATGTAGACTTTGCCAGCATGGAGCTCTCTGAGGTGGTGAGCAACGCCATCCTGTCTGCCTACAATGGGGGGCTCCTGAATGTGAACTTGAGCTCCCCACCCTCAGGGGATGGGCTGGGATCTAGTGGTGCTGCCACCTCGCCTATCCTTACTTCGAATGACGCTCTGCTCTTTCATGAGAAGTGTGGGACCCTCATCAAACTCAGCAACAATAATAAGACAGCTGAGCGCCGGAGGCCCCTGGATGAATTTAACAATGGGGTCGTCATGACAAACCGACCACTTCGGGACAATGAGATGTTTGAGGTGTGCAAGATCCTGGTTTGGCTGGTGCCTCACCCTCTGGGAGCTAAAGACGGGGCTCAACCCTTGATGCCAAGAGGGTGGAGTCTTGGGAAGAACCAAGGGGTTCCCTTCTCTGCACTTAACTTCTCTGCTCCTTCTGTTTATCATCACTCAATCCCAGATCCGGATAGACAAGCTTGTAGATAAGTGGTCAGGCTCTATTGAGATTGGTGTCACCACCCACAACCCCAACAGCCTGGAGTACCCAGCCACTATGACCAACCTCCAGTCAGGTACCAGCCCTGGGCAGCATGGGACACACAGGCCTGGGGTTACTGAGGTGAAGGAAACCCATACCCTAACCAGGTATCCATTTTTGCTCAGGCACCATCATGATGAGCGGCTGTGGGATCCTAACCAATGGCAAGGGCACCCGCCGGGAGTACTGTGAATTTAGTCTGGATGAGCTGCAGGTGAGGATGGAGCACAGTGTTTTGGGTGAGTCCAAGGGAAGGTCTGGGTACTTTGTGACACTGCTTGGGTACCACATAAAGGTCTTTTCTGTGGCCTAGAGCAAATCCCTTTGTGTTTATATGAGGTCCCTTCTGAAAAGGCAGGGTTGCCCAATAGGCTCTAAAATGAGCCTAGTGGTAGCATTTTTTTTTCCTTTTTCTTTTTCCTTTTTTTTTTTTTTTTTTTTTTTTGCAGCATGCGGATCAAACCCAGGGTTTTACAGATGCTAGGCAAGCATTCTACCACTGAGCTACATCCGAAGCCCCTGTAGCAGTTATTATGTATAGGGAAATTTAAAAGTTGCTTTAGTTAGCATTGTTCCTGCTATTGAGGCTGTGACCAGAAGACCTGACAACAATTTTAGAGGAGGAAGTTTATTTGGGAGCTCACAGTTTCAGATTCCATAGATGGCCCACTCCATTGCTCTAGGCCAGAAGGGAGGCAGAATATCATAGTGGAAGAGTGGCAGAGGAAAGCAATTAGGAACATGGCAATAGGAAGCAGAGAGAGAGACTAAGCTCAGCTCACAAAATATATACCCCAAAGGCATGCCCCCAATTACCCATCTTCTCCAGCTATACCCTACCTGCCTGAAGCAGTACTCATTAATCTCTATCAGGGGATTAATACACTACGGTTTTCATAACTATCATTTCACCTCTAAACTTCCTTTTTGTGTGGTGCTGAGGATCGAACCCAGTGCCTCATATGTGCAAGGCATGCGTTCTACCACTGAGCCACAGCCACAGCCCTCTAAACTTTCTTTTACTGTCTTATACATGACTTTTGAGGGGACAATTAATATTAAACCATAACAGAAGTTGATGTTTGTAATGGCTTAACTCTGTTCTTGACTTATATTGAGCATTCAGGAAATGTTGAAATTGCCATGTTTGGAAAACAGGGACCCAAGACTTGCCCTGCCTGTCCTCTAGGGTACTGAGACTCATGTGA